CCTAGAAGAAACTCCTCATAGGTTCCAACAATTACCTCCATAGCTCCAGAATTTGTCCAATATTTTCTTTTTTAACTCCGGTTGACAACTAACTCGCACGTGGGGAATGTTATGAAAACGAAACATTTGGAGCATGATGCAACATGAACCAAAAAGACAAGATCACGCGGGCAGGAGACTAGCCCGTTAGAATCGCATTTAGGAAAAAAGTTGAACGATTTTGACATTAGCCGTTTGTTTACATTTCTACGTTGTTTACAATTTGGTGGTGGCTTTTTACTGCAATTTTCTTAATTTTCGCTTGTGACAACGTGTGTACACATAAGGTAAAGAATAATTTAACACAACGGCATGATTTATAGAATAATTTCCATAATAAAAATGATTTTTCATGCGTTCAACAATTTCGCGGTTTTCACCATTCTCTTCGTTGTTTACTTCTTACAACAAAGATGGCGTCGAGATTTCAGCAGCTAGAAAATAACTTTTTTCGTTATTTCCTTCCCGCGTGATCTTGTGTCTTTCGTTCATGATGATGCAATAATACAAGGTGGTATCAGTTGTGACAGCTCGATTTGACACTACCTTACCTCAGTAGAATGAGAAGAAAAACGGGAAGAAATGAATCCCCATATGGGGGAAAAATATAAAATTTCACATTTTCTCCTTAACAAAATTTGCTTTTTTATAGTGTATTCGTTAAAATACCTTTTTAAGAAAGTAAAGTGTGTATACTTAGAAAAAAAAAAAATGCAACTATATTATTAGGCAAAGAATTGTTAAAGAAGTAACACTGTTTCAGCTAAGGCAGTCAATATGGCCGAATTAGAGCGAGAAGTTGCCAACTGATAATACCTTGTATTATTGCATCATTAAGTGTGACGTTATGCAAACAACGACTCTGTCAAATTCGTTCAATTTTTGGTTCATGATTTTGGAGGCGAGGCAACTGTTGCGATTATTTTTATCAAAGTTGATGACCGATATTGTGGTATATACATATAACCCTCCTTATGTAAAAAATTTGTACAAGTTGGTAGCAATTGTTGCCAAATCGTGTTCGTTTGACCAAAAACTTGCAAAGTCAATTTTGACATTTCATTTAGAGGGGAAGTTGCAAATTCGTGCTGGGAAAGCAGGATTGTGGCACACGGTTGCATTTTTGCCAAAATTAATTTGAATCACCAAGATGAAAGAAGAATGTAAATATTTGTTTATTCAATTAATTTAATTATTTCCAAACATTTGAAAGGTAATCGGTTGAAAAAGCAGTATTCGTAATCGGAACGCAGTCGACACCACTGTCGATATAGGAAATCCGACAGTGACTTACACAAAGAAATTGAAGCGTATGGTGGAAAAAGTCAGAATAAGAATACGTATAGGTCCTGTTTGTTTTCTACCTGAAATAATTAGTCTGTTCCTTTGAACTTCGGACTAAAACCTGTGGAACTGTCAAACTACAATTTTACTCTCTCAAGTGAGAATAAATGAAGAACAGATGCAGAAGTGCACGGGAACGCAAGAAGCACTATTTCCTGTAAAAAC